CTACCGCGAAGTGTCCTATGCATGCGATAGTGAAATAGTTTTAACAAAATTTGCCAACGCCACAGAAATACATTCTCCCAATTACCCAAATATACCGCCGCCTCATGTAGAGTGCAATTGGAGAATAATGGCTCCGCCTGGTGAAATTATTCGCATTGATTTTATTGACAGATTCGATTTAAAAATCCAAAATAAGTAAGTTTATAAAATTGTAAATAGAGCAACAGTTAACAGTTTTTGCAGTTGTACAAACGAATATGTTGAAGTGCGCGACGGTGGTACTCAATATTCGAGACTAATCGGAAAATTCTGCGAAAAACCAAATTCCCAGTTTAGTACCGATAATATGATGTTTGTGAAGTTTTTCACAGAGTTGAATGACCCGAGTAATGGGTTTAAAGCCAGGATAGTTTTGGCCAATTGTGGAGGGAGTATTCATAGTAAAACTGGTCAAATTCAGTCACCATTTTTCAACGTGCCTTCGAAATATCCAGTCGATGTTAATTGTACTTGGCATTTAATTTCACTATCGAATCACAATATGGATATTAAGTTTGATAAAATTGACTTGGAAGAAGCTTCGAATTGTACGCGCGTGGACCATGTTAAAATTTACGAAAGAAATGAAGTTGACAACACAGGTAAAGTTTGTTAAAATTTAATTAGGGGTTTACCAAAAAGAAATAAAAAAATTTAGAATATATTCTGGGCAATTTTTGTGGTAAAAAGCTCCCAGAGTTAATCCAGACCTCAGGAAGTGAAGCTATAGTTCACTTCCAAACTGGTAACATCAAAAAAGAATTGGGTGGATTTTCATTGAAATTCAACGCAAGCGCTGAAGGTACCTACTTCTAAAAAATTAAAATCATTTTGAATATCATGTTTCAGTATGTGGTGGTACTATCGAAGCTTCAGAAGGTACAATCAAAAGTCCGGGATATCCCAATCCGCATAGAATTTATAGAAGATGTAGTTGGACAATTATAGTACCAAAAGGTCGTCGAGTAACTCTCAAAATTGAAGATTTTGGCTTAGACAATCGATTAAAAGGATCATGGCTTACCGGATTAATTATTTACCACGATAAGAATTTTAAAGGATATATTAAAAAAGTTAGTACAAGTAACGAAGTTATCGAGTCTTCGGAAAACCACATCTTCGTTTACTATTGGTCACCGGGGACTATGGGAAGAGGTTTCAAAGCGAAATTTACTTCCAACAACCCATCTGGTAACGTTTATTTTTTTATGTTATGACTGTTTGCAACTTGTATTATACAGAGTGTCATACGTAGTACTTTCGGGTCTAATTTCTCTATTATTTATCAACGGATTTTAATTATTTTTTTTTAGAAATGTAGGCAACTTAGAAGATTCAGTGAGTTTTATTAAAGTTATTTCAAGACAAAAAAATGTTGAAACACATATTATCTCTATTTAAGTTAATTTAAATTAAACAAAACCACTATTACATTCTTAAGCACTAAAAAAATAAACCTCTACAAAAAAAAATTAACTAAACCACTCGTCTGAGTCAGCATAAATACGGCGATTATGTTGTTAAAATTTTGATCTAATTTTTTAAAGAATTTTATCAAAGTTAACTCTAAAACAATTAGTTTAACGTCTTCAAGTATCATTTGTACAACTCTGAAAACCTGTGGTAAATTAAGTTTTAACATCTTTAGAACCAGTGATGCTAATCGTGATACTTTCGAGCATCTTTTGTTGTATTGAACTGCTGGTTAGTCCAATAAATGCAATTCCTTATTAACTTTTTGAAGCTAGAGAAACAATAAAAATGTCATATATCAATGTGATTGTCGTCCGATAGCCAGGGGTGACCAAAGTTCGTTACCATGGGGTAAAATTTTATGACTTGAAAACTGGCTTGGTTTCGATTTTGTTCGTAAATATCCTTCACTCATTGGCTCTAAATATGAGGTGAAGGCGATAAAATTTTGCTTTCATCAATTTTATCGATTGAAATTTTTGACTCATTGTTGAATGACGAGATGCTATTGGCTGCAATGTAAATGAATCAAATAGTCAAAAAAAAACAGATTTTATTCGTAAACAAAAATGACCATTTGTATGACATCGTCATTAAATGCAAAAGTTTAACCCTTCATCAATAGAGTAAAAATTTTATATTTGCAATGTATTTACTTTTACTATGACATTATTGACAGTTACCAATGTTGTTTTTTTTGCTGCTTCAGCAATTTCTGGAGAGGTACATTGTAGATAATCAGCATTTGACATTTTGCACTACTAACTGCATTAGTTAAATTACACTTTTGAAAATCTCAACACAAATTCCAATACTGACGAGTTACATTTGCTATGATTTCATTATACTTGCAAAGCGACCTGATTATTTTGTTCATTTACTTGCTAATTATAGTGTTGCTCTGCACGTTCGATCTGAATACATTTGCGGATAAAATAGTACATGTTAGGTATTCGAAGGAAACTATTATCTCAATTTTAGCCGTCGCAAGAGCAAGAAATTCTTAAAAAGCTGTTAAAAACAAATTATTTAGTATGAAATATTAAATATGGAGTACCTAGACGCATAAAAAAACACAAAATACTCGTAATATGCTTAAATGAGAATAGAGTGGTAAAAATCAGTTATTGAAACTAAATGGCAAAAATCAAGGAATTTTATAATGTAGAAAAGATTACAATTAATTAAA